GTTTGTGTATAACCGAGGCAGTTCTACTTTCCAAGCGCCCTTTCTACTTTCTTGGTTGTTTGTTTCCTGTAATTTATTTTTGTTTTATGCTTAGCTATTGAAATATTGAAATAAGATGACAATTAAAAAAAAGGTTTCTTTTCAATTACAATATTTTCGCTCATGTTTGATTTTGTTATAACTAATGTTCTCTGCAACCATATTTTCCTCGTTAATTTGATTCATATGGTCCTGCTCACCTTCAAATTTTTATATTTTTTTAGGATTAGTTAGAAACTTTTAATTGTTGCTCATGTTTTTAGTCTTCATTAATCTAATTGCAAACGATAATGATTGCTAAAATTAAGCTTCTCTGCAACACTCTAGGAGTTGGGGGGTGTTGAACTTGGAGTAGAAGAATTAGGATTGGATTTGGGAAGGGAAGCGGTGGGGGATAAATTGTGTTTGGATTTGGTAGCATGTAAAACTAAACTGCTGCAGGTGAAGGCTGAGAAGATGGAGTTGGTAAGGGTAATTATCGAATTGACGAGTGTATTGAAAGACATTGAAGCAAAACTGGAGCAGTTGAAGAGATAGATGATGATGATATCAATGAAAATGGAGATGGTATTGAAGGGCGTGGAAGTGTACTGAAGCAGGTGAACTGGTGAAGGAAGACAAAGGGGAGATGACCATATATATTGATAGAATTAGAGATGAGTATTGGTTTTAGCGAGCTTATTACCAAATCCCCTGATGGAGATGAGTTGGCAAAACACAAGAAGAGGACTGAGGAGTTGAAGAGCGAGTTGACAAGAAACCCAATTGGAAAAGAAATTGAGGGACATAGAGAGAAGGTCCATCAAAGTAGCAGAAAATGAGTTACAGAAGGAGCCTCATAAAAAAAAAAGAGTTATAGAAGGAGGATTAGAAAGTGAATTTTTGGTTGAAATATATGCCTCCTGAGATTGAAGATAAAGTGAATTTTTGGTTGAATAAAAATTTCTTTGTACAACGAAGAATGATGGTTATTGGATCTTTAAGTTTATGGGTTTTGCAGCTACCACAACCTATTTTTATCTTAAAACTATGAATCATTGCTTGATTTACTGAAGTGGGTCGATTCTTTATTCAACCTACTAGAACTGATAGATAAGGAGTATCTAATTTTGTGCCTCATTACTTTGATTGAGTCTTAGTATATTGAAGGTAGCCCTAATTTTGTCATTTGCTTTCAAGTTTTAAGTACCCTCCATTTTTTTATTAGTGGCCTATTGTTCCTAAAATGAGAGCATTGAACCCTTTATGTAGGATTGTGAGGTTTCATATTCGGTTTTAAACAATCTATGGCTCGTGTGAGAATTCCAGTAAGCTTTTATAGTTTATCTTTTTTTACAATCAACTAACCAATAACATTTTAACTTGACCTTAATTGTCATTATGAATATGGGTTCAATGATGCATATATTCTTAAATGGGATTTCCGAATGTTCTATCAATATATTCTTTCGTTATGTATCATTTCGCTCGAAGGATTGTCAATAAAATTAAACGGATTGATAGAGTTAAACGTAACATAAAAATATAAATATTCAAATATTAACATTCCGACCAACTAGTAGGATAGAAGCTAATTATATGAATAGCGCCTAGCTACTTACATATTCCAACATACTTTTTAAATTTTTTTGTCAAATTTATATTTTCTATCAATCATATGTTTTTGGTTGCAAATTAAATGGATTCAGATACGACTCTTTAATTAACACAACGTTGTTTTTTCTTTTCTAAATGCACTTATTTAGCTATCAAAAAAAAAAAATGCACTTATTTAGTTTCGATGCTATCTTCATGCAATGTCGATAATTTCCAAAATTCCGTATCATTCTTACTAATATTATCACGCCAACTTCTTGAAAAATAGCAGCTCTTTCATCATAAAGCATAGATATGTATGTATGGAGTATTCTCATTTGACCACATAAAAAAATGTAAAGAATAAATCAAAATTATATATTGTGTATATGAACACCGAGTAATCGAGCAAATTCTCAAAGGGGGACAAAGAAGAAGAAGAAGGAACAAGTGAAAAACAAATCATACAAAAAACAGAAACAAAACTAAATTCTGCCAAAACAAAAACAAAAAAAAGGTAAAAAAGCTTTTATCTATTACATGATGATTTATTTACATGAAATCGTCAAGTAACTCCAAGCTCTCCGGAATCTCAAACTTGAGCAAGCTGCTGCAGTAGCTCTCCCTCTCATCCTCCGTCGTCGTACTGGCACTCAAGCTGCCGTTCACGAAATTCGACGACGTCGGTGTCACCTGCGCCGGGCTCGATAACGGCGTCGAAATAACGGACGAGTCCGCATTACCAATATTTCCACCGCCGCCGCTAATCAAGCTACTCTGATACCAATCGGAACCGTTACCGTTATTATTCCCGCTCAACCCGGCTCCACATGACTGGAAACTCCGACAATTCTCCGAAAGTTCAGGGATCGTATTCCAAAACCCAAAATCATTGGGTAGTGAAGCGAAATTATCCTGACCCGACACCTGACTCCCGGAGTTGTTATCATTATTATTATTTAATTCCAGGAAACGCTCCAGGTCAGCCTGCTGCAGCTGAATCAGCTGCGACGGCGTCGTTTGACTGTCCGTGAGATTCTGCTGCTGTTGGTGGTAGAGCTCCGGGTTCTCCTGCTTCAGCGAGGCGAGAGCGGCGGCGATGCGGAGGAGCTCCGGGTTGAGCAGCGACGGAGGAGACTGTGTGCCGGCGGCGAGAAGGGCGAGGAGAGACGCGGCCGGGTTGACGTGGCAGAGCGCGTTGCCGAGAATTGCGGATAAGTCGAGGAGGTCGAGGCGGGGCGCGTGGGTGACCGGATCGATGCCGTTGCGGAGAAGCCTCTTGCGGATATGGGTGTTCCAGTAGTTCTTGATCTCGTTGTCGGTCCTTCCAGGTAACCGGGCAGCTATGGCCGACCACCTAAAATTTCACCAAACACATTGACTCAAGGATTAGTTTAGTTTTTTTTTTTCATGCATATATAGGTTTATTGATACTACCAAACAAGACTGTTAGGTTTATGGTGACGATTTTATTTAATTTTTCTTCTCTCACAAGTAAACACTCAACAGAGGAAATGGTCATCATTACTCGCGGTCCAACCAAAAAAAATTCAAGGGAGGAGTTTAAGCTAGTGAGTGGTTCAACTTTTAATTTTTTCGGTACAACTTTTATGGTACACGGTACGATATGATTCTACATTTCTTTGTGATTAGTGGTATGATTTGCTTACTTGTTGCCGAGGATGCTGTGGAGCTGGATGATGGTCTCCTCCTCCTCGAAGGTGAAGCGGCCTCGCTTGATGTCAGGGCGGAGGTAGTTCGTCCACCTCAGGCGACAACTCTTACCACATCTCTGAAGACCTACAATTGATGGAACAATGAAGGAAAATATGAGAAATAATGTGCGTACGCAGATTGTTGGTTTAGGTCATGATGGACGTGTATATATATATGGTGGCTTCTATCGTACTTACCGGCATTTTTTGGGAGGGTGCGCCAGTTGCCAGGGCCGTGCAACTGGATGTAAGAGGTGAGTTTGTGATCCTCTTCAGTAGTCCAGGGGCCTTTCTTCAGCCCGTTCTTGTCGCAGCAAGGAGTTCTTCCCATTCTTGGAAATGCTAATTAGCAGGGGTTTTTTATTGTAGTTATGAAGGATCGGAGGAAGGAGAGGATTAATGGTGAACTGTGGATGGATGGGATTGTGTTGTGTATATATAGGGATTAGGTTAGGGAGAAGAAGGAAAGGTAGAAATTGGCTGCGAAACAAAGTCAGAGAGATTTGGTGCCGCCTGGCCTTTTTTGCCACGTATATTTTCGTTTGAATTTTTTTTATAACTAATGTGTCCATTTCATCTCCACTAACGTGGTTCGATTTTGCAATGACTAAAAATAATATTAATAATAATGTCTGTCTACTCAGCTGGGGCAATGCGTGTATGATGCATATTTCATTATTTCTGGGTGGTGGTGATGTGCGCAAATCGTAATATTGAAATTGCATGGTATGTAAATGGTGACAAGTGTGAAATTAATGGTTTGTGTTCGCTGGGGGAGTTTTAAAAGGGAAACTGCAGCCATTGTTTGGGGACACGATATGGGTTCCAGTTCTTTTCCTTATATATATGCTACGTGCGCAATTTAAGGACGAAATAAATTATCAGTAAAAGTTGCATGTATATTTCACCAGCATGATAGCTAGCTAAGCTCTAATTTAGTATTATAAACTAACGGGTCACAATAACTTGATCACTTGTTGAAACGAGACCAATGTATGTATATTAATATATCAGTACTTTCTTACAATAACATCAGATAAATTCATTAAAGAACTTTTATAATTTATTTTATACGGTATAATCCAAAAGGTAACCCTCAGGTTCAAGGATAAATGACAAAAATATTTTTTTTTTTTAAATTTACCACCAATATGGTGGATTAAAAAGTATTGACATGTTTATTGTGTTTTTGTGTAGAGCCAGAGGTGGGACCGCTGGAGACTCAAGAGGGGCGCCTTTGGAAACTTTTGAACTAGTCTAAGGTGCTAGCGCCTTAGTCTCCAACGCCCCCGCCTTCACCTCTCTAATTTATTTTAAAAAGCGCTGCAGACCATCCTCTTTCCTTATCTTATCTTCTTCTTCTTCCTCCCCCCTCCCGAACCAGAGAATCCACTTGCAACCCCGGCGCTCACAGTAGTCGCCGCCGTAGAGCCAGGCGCCGCCGCCGCAGACAGAAGTGCCACCGCTAGATGTCGTCCGACAAAGACGAAGCAGTCGCCGACAGAGGCAGGGGGAGAGGCCGGCGAGGTCGTGGAGGTGGCGGCCGTTTTCGCGGTGAGGGTCTGGCGTGTTTTTTTTTAATTAATGTTTAGTGTTTTTTTTAATTAATATTTTTGTTGCTTTGCTTTTGCAGTTCCTAGGCTTATGGACCATTATTCGATGAGACTACCGCCGGTGACAATTGATCCAGCTTCGGTCGATCCAGTACTTCTTTGGAGACATGGCCAACATCGTATCGACTCAGTTTGGCAAAACGAGGTAAGTATTTGATAATTATTCATGTAAAGTGAATTAGCTAATTAGATTATTTTAGTTGGTGAACTGAACTGTACTGAAATTAGAATAGGATTACGTATCAAATTTTTTGACATTAGTATAATTTGAGATTAGATTAGATAGATTAGAATTTATTAGGTGAAATTAGAATTATTACAAATGAAATTGAATTAATATAAGTTTTGTGCACTATAGGCTGGTGATCGAACTTACCATGTTCGAGGTACGACCAATTTAGTGACGTACCATGAGCTTTATCGGCCATATCTCGAAGCGGCTGGCTTGTTTAGTATTTTGCCCCTGGTCCCTATGAACTCCGATGCGAGTTTGATTACTTCGCTCGTAGAGCGGTGGCGACCCGAGTCCTCGACCTTCCATTTACCGTTTGGTGAGGTCACGATCACGTTAGAGGACGTTGTGACACTGTCCGGTCTGGCGATCGACGGTGATGCCGTCGTAGTTGACATACCTCATGAGGAATGGTTGACGATCTGTTTGAGACTGTTAGGACGGGTTCCGGCTTATGTTTCAGGCGGTGTCGGTGTCGTTAGGACTGTTTGGCTGAGGGATGAATTCAGTCATCTGCCGGGAAATGCATCCCAGGAGGTTACAGAGCAGTTTGCACGAGCTTATGTTATATCTCTGATGGGAGGTGTACTGTTCACAGATCGGTCTGGAGCTACGGTGCACCTACAGTACCTACTTCTGGTTGAGGATTGGCAGAGAGCTCGACGGTTCACCTGTGGAGCAGCTATTTTATCCTACCTATACCGTGAGATGGGTAGGTCTGCTTTGCACATTACGCATTCCTTCACTTCTCTAGGCGGTGACCTTGGTGGATGGGTCGCCCTAGTGCAGCTCTGTGCGTGGGAGCGATTCCCACATATGGCTCCGCGACATTCAAAGACGAGGGCGCAGATTTATGAGGATGCATCCCCACGTGGTCTTCGATGGCTTCCGGCCAACACTCATCGGTATGGTGACCAGCTATTCCAGTACAAGCTGTGGTTTGACGAGATGGACACCATGGTGGTTAGTATATAATATTTCATTTTATATAATAGTTTTCATTTGTTTGTTTTAGATTTAGGGATAATAACGTGACCATTTTTTTTGTGTAGTGGCAACCATACGTTGGGAGAGCACTTCATCTCAGAGGTAGTGTGATACAGTCTGAGACGTTTCGAGCAGTAGTGCCACTTATATGCTTTTCATCGGTGATGTGGCACCATCTTGACCGCGTGCTCCGGCAGTTTGGCATGAGGCAGCATGAGCCTCATCCGCCACATTCCGAGGCTGAGGTTAGGTTTTTTCTTCGTCAGACTACTCGTGGGCCATCGCGTGGGCAGCAGTTGGTACACCACTACAGAGAGTCGATTGCTTTCTGGAACCGTCGACAAGATTTCGTAGCGACGGCTCCATATAGTGATGAGGTCTTAGCCTACCACTCGGAGCATATGGAACTTCTCCATACAAGAGTTCGTAGCAATTGCTCAACTTGACAATCGAACTTCTCCAAGCGTTTTTCTCTGGCTAACAAAATAAACAACCACACGGGTTAGATAAATTCATGACAAAATTACATGAAAATAAATAACAAAATTAAATGAAGAAGACTTACCGACTCGAAATAATTGCTTATACATAATCCTGCTTTTAATCTTTCTTTGCAAATTGCTTGCATAGTGTCGCATGCACCACCTCCATTCCCAACCTCTTCCGATGTTATTCATGGCTTCATAGAGTCCTGCATGTCTATCTGAGATGATGCAGACATCATTTCGATCAGTCAAACCCTGAACGTGACTTATGAACCATGGCCAACTACCAGTATTCTCGCTCTCCACTATGGTAAATGCAATTGGAAAAATCTTCTTCCGGCCATCAAATGAGCTCGCCATGAGTAGCACCCCTTTATACTTCCCAGTAAGAAATGTTCCATCAACAACCATGACACCTGAACAATTCTTGAATCCATCTATACAAGTTCCATAAGCTCAAAATACCCGCTGAAATATCGAATGACCTGGTTGAGTCGAAGGAACTCTTACCAAATCAATCACCGATGTTGGCATTTTTCTCTTGGCCACCCGCAAGAATGTTTGCAAAAAATTGTAGGATTATTCCCAATTTCCATGCAACTTCTCTAATGCTCTTTGTTTCCCATACCAAGCCTTCTTGTAAGTAACTTGCATATTAAACTTATCTTTCAACTCGGCCTGCACAATTAGAACACTCAGATTTGGTTGGGAACATACCAAATGTTTGACGGCCTCAGATATCATGTCGACATCAAGATGGCGATGATCCGTCGATTGAGTCGTACTGCTACAAGAATGCACCAACTCAGCCTTTCTAACAGTCCATTCGCCTCCAACATCTCGAAATCCAAACCGCACCATCCAAGGACAATTGTCATCCTTGTGCCTCAAGCATCTGACCTTCCAGATTGAAGGTGACGAATCCACCACACCATATTGAAAGTCGCATTGTAGTGTGTGGTGTTTAAGCGCCATCTGTGCAGCTTGTTTCGAGTGAAATATCTGCCCCTTGTAGAATTCTTCTTCAAAACTAGCAACAATAGGCATTGGAATTACGACATATGAATCAGCAAGTGATAATTCTTCGTCCTCTTCATTACCCTGCAAGTAAAAATATGGAGGATAATTAGGCTGCTCTCCTTCCCCCTCCTCATCCTCCTCCTCCTCATCTTCCTCCTCTCCGTCATCACCGTCATCATAGTCATGATCGGATGGCACGCTCCATGTATCATCTTCTTCCTCTCCACCCTAATCCTCACTGAGCTCAACATGTATCTCAGCACCCAAACAATAAGGACTTTGTGCCATAAAATTCCAAAGCACATTCAAGCTATCATCATCCACAATAGGCATCGCATAATGGAATAAAACACCATTCTGCCATTCTGGAAGACGATAAGTGAAACCCGTGATCACATCACTATCTTGTACTGCTTCGTCTCTACGCAGTATTCTCGGAATTAGATTCTTACAAAGTTTGTGATATGTGACCCTGGATCGAACCGTCAACTGAAAACTACTACCACCAACGAATTTGACGTCCAAATTATCCTCTACTTTCTCCGATTTCCACCGAACGACTAGTTCAAATCTTCTAAAATCACTACAGAAAAACAAACTCACTAATTAAAACTAAACACAATCATAATAGCATTTAAATAATATAATTAAAAAAAATAAATGTGTCTCTTACCTATCAGCCATTTTTGCAGCAGCAACCAGAGCTCTCCTCTATCTTCGTCGATTTTTTTTGTGGTGTGAATAACTGAAACGAAAATCGCTGGTTTTATAGGGGGGTAGCCAGCAATAAGCCAGCGGACCCGCCATAGTCCTGGGCGCCAGTGCCAGGTACAAATTCCCACCGATTCACCTCAGCCTCATGCGGTACGACCTCAGTCTTGGGCGGCGCCGCTGTCACCTTTAAACAAATGATCCTGAAAAACAGAAATAGCGGCAGCGCCTGAGTTTCAGGCGAACTTAAATTCCCATTAACTAACCCGGTACCTAATTAAGTGCTTAATTAGAACATTCATAAATGTCCATGAGTTAATTAATTACTTGTCGAATGCAGATATGAATATTTCATTTCAATTGGGGTTATCTAGCCATGGAAACATGATTGAACTTTGACGTGTTTATACAGCAAAGTAATTTCACTTCACTCAGCATCAGTAATTACTTATGTCAATAATCTTCGAGCTTTTCTTGATATACAAGCATCTGACAAAAGAACGCGAGAGAGAGATGGATGCTTCATAAAATCAAACCTGGTTGTGAAAAAGTTGTAAGAATGGATGTCTGGTTTTGTTGTTCTCGTTGCGTTCATAAGGTTTAGGCATGTAAGGAAGAAACGATCACTATCTTTGGATCTTTGACGACCGCTACTATGTCGCCCCATTACCCGCAAACTTCATATATTCACCTTGTCAAAAAATGAAAAAATTATGATATTAATGCAAATTTGATTTTAAATCCATAAATCCATTTAAGCATAAAGCATCACAACATTCAATATATAGACAATACTTTTCAAAAATCATCACGACCCAGATCCATCCATCACTAGTCCTTTTCCAAATCTAAACCAACAAATAACCTCTTAAATTTTTCATACAATTTTCCTCTGTGGTATATAGGAGGAGACACGTTGAATGTTGAGAAATGAGTTTGAATCCCGGCAGAAAGAAAGACAAGCAAGACGGATAAGTTTTTGCAAAGTGATAATGGAAGAGAGACAAATGTCAATGGCGAAATGAGATTTGTGACATTGAGAGAAATTGAAGAAGGAAAAAGTGATTTTGACCTTTGGTTTAAGAGATCAAAGTCCGAGTTGAGAGTGATTGGGCGGTGAGGCGGTTATGAGATTAAGGACGAAAATCATGCCCCCAAGCGGCTTAAACCTTCCATTTTGTCTGTCTTCCAAGCCGAGTCCTGCGTTTTTCGCTGTTTTGACCCTTTCTTCCTCTTCTTCACCCTCTTCAAATAATTTCTCTTTTTACTTTTTTTTTATTTTAAAATTAAATTGTACAAAATTTGGCATTATAGCTGCTTACCTCTTACTCAGAAGCTGAACGTGGGGAAGTTCAAATTGAGAAAGCTCTGATATCTCGACAAAATTGGCAATGGTACATGAAATATGGTGTAATTAGTATAAACGGTCACAAATTTTTGCATTTAGTATAAAATCGACACAAATTTTTAATTTGTAACGAATAGATAACAAAATTGTGTACTTAGAACAAGACGGTCACAACTTGAACAAAGTGACCATTTCATACAAGTTCAAACTTTTATTACAGTGTCGTTACAAATTGATCATTTTGTACAAATTTCAAGGGTTTGAACGATCAGTTACTGTTAAAATTTGCTCCAGTTGAGGTATGGTGGTTTTGTTAATTGATGTGAATGCTATGATCGTAATAAAGGACGACAGTGAAAGAGTTCAACACCTCACACACGGGTTGAAAGCTACTTTTTAGTTGAAAAAGTCGGTATACTTTCTTACTTTCGTGGGATCGAAATAAAAAGATCAACAGAAAGCATTCTTATTCAGCAAAACAAGTATATCGATGAACACGCGACCTGACATCTTATATGGCGTTGAAGTGGTTAGTGTCATATAGTTGACGAAAACATTACCCGATTTCAAAACGGGCACACACGCTTAATTTCCGTGATCAGTCTTCTTTAGCATCGCGATTTGGATTGTTTGGAAGAACAGGAATTAGCTTTGCTTTAAATGGGCCGCCCTTTACCCTCAGTCCCCCATCTTTAACTCATTCAATTGTCGCAAGAGCCAAGCTGTGGCACGCAGCCTGCAATGCCCCATCGCTGTTACCTAGCTCGAGATGTACGCCAACGAGCAGGATTATGACTTCTATCTCCAGGACTTCCCCGCGGGAAGGGTGGGTTAAGTTAAATCTCAACGGCACGCCGAATGGTAATCTAGGACTGGCGGGCGCTGGAGGTGCAGTGAGAGATGAAGCTGGATGGTGGATTATCGATTTTGTGGCTAAGATTGGACATTCGTCAGCAGCCTTAGCAGAGCTATGGGCCTTTTACTATGGTTTGGATTTAGTTTGGAAGACAGGATGTCGAACTGTTATGGTAGAATCAGACTCCCAGCTTGCTATTCAGTTGATCAACGACAAACATGATCTAGTATCCGTATGCCACCTTGCTCTCCTCTATTCGCAGGAAAATTAGACGGGACTGGTTGGTGCGCATCTCTCATGTATACCGAGAAGGGAATAGAGTCGCAGACTAGCTCTCGAAGCACAGTCTCGTCTATCCCTACGATATTCATGAGCTTGCGCACTCGCCAACGGGCCTAATTCCCTTTCCGCGGGACGATACTTAGGGTGTGTCCTTCGATTGGAGGATTGTTTCCCATCTCAGTACTTCTTCTACTTTCTCTCCACCCCTGTAAACTGTCTACTTGGCTTTTTGCCTCCCTTAATGCAAAAAAACAAAAAAAAAATTGACAACACATATAATAATGACTCATGTTTATATATGGTGAAATGAGACAGTAGTATGACTAGATAGACCCTTAGTGTTTCTGGGTTTTTTTTTATAATGGTGATCACTTACATTAAACCAAAAGGAAAACAAAGGTACAAAGTTGCATTGACTCAGAAGGGCTGAACCAAAACCAGCAAACAACAAAACCAAAACAGACAAAGCAACTAAGTGGACCGAACTACTCTTGTTGCAAAGCGCAAAAAAAAAGAGAGGATACAGACAGCCCTGAAAACACAAGGAAAGAGCACAGGATGGGTTAACCCATCCTGTTGCAAAGCGCAAAACAAAAAGAGAGGAATACAGACAGTCCTAGAAACACAATGAAAGAACACAGGATGGGTCAACCCATCACAACAAAA